TCTACAAAGGAAAAGATTGCTGTTGTTGTACTCCAGGGTCTTTGGGAGTTCTCTCCCCTCACCATTTCAATCTTTTTTGGAATTTTTGCTCTTGCATGCAACTCCCTTTCTCTTTCCCCTGCCAGTTCCATGGAAATCATTAACCAGCTTTTCTGATTGGATTCCTGGCCCCTTCCCTCACCCCCACCTTCACCTCTGGTCTGTTTGATGCCATTTGGCACCTKTTTTGGCATAACAGTCACTGTCCTTGTAAAGTTTTTTAGRTCAATAAAGACAGTGGCCTTCATGACTGAGTGTTGTGTGTTGAAAAGTAAGTGGGCTGAGAGTTGCCTCTTCCCCAGAGCTGATGGTGTCTGCTGCACTCCTTATCAGTGCAGACCGAAACTGACACCTTCCCTTCCCACTCCTAGAGGGTAGCCACCCTAGCCACATGGGCCTTGGGCAGGTGGCTTGGAGTGTCCCAATCCCAGGATGATGTGGGAGAGAGTGTGGGTTGACTTCCTGGGAGCCAGGTAGGTGTTCCAGATGTCACTCAAGTCAACAGCTAGGCAGCACCTGGTGGAAAAGTCAGTAGGAGTCAGGTACCAGGAAGAGGGTGGACTGGATATAGGTAAGAGTTCACCTACTGATCACCCCATCATCTCTCATGCCTTCAAAGGCGTGGGCAGGGCTCTTGCTATCTGCCCAGATGTCTTGGGGGAAAGCAGTAAGGGAGTTACCCTTGAATTCAGTATATTTAGGTCCTTTTCTCTCTTGCTCTTTTCTTTCTGTACTAGGGATTAATGCAAAGCTTTTTGTAGGCTAGGCAAGTATTCTACCACTAGGCTATGTCCCCAACCCATTTTATTTTAGTTTTTGGTACCAGGGATTGAATCCAGGGACACTTAACTACTGAGGCACATCCCCATTCCTTTTTAAATTTTTGAGACAGGATCTTGCTAAATTGCTGAGGCTGGCTTTGAACTTGTGACACTCTTGCCTGAGTCTCCTGAGCCGCTGGGATTACAGGCATGCACCACCATGCCTGGCCCTTTTTATTTTGAGACAGGGTCTTGCTAARTTGTCCTGGCTGACATCAAACTTGCYGTCCTCCTGCCTCAGCCTCCTGAGTTGCTGTGTGTGACAACGCCATGCCCAGCTTGATTCTGTTTTTTCTTGGGACATTTATGAACCTTCCTGAAACTGAAACTTCTGCAAACAATTTTTTTCCTTTCATAATAATAAACCATTGTTTTCTTTTTTAGAAGTGAAGAGACTTGGGACTCAGAGAAGTTAATTTGCCCAWAGACTTGTTGCTGAGAAATAGCCATCTAATTCAGACTGTAACTTGGTCATGTCACTTAGTCCCTCTCGAGTCTCAGTTTTCCCACTTAGGAAATGAGATTGTTTTAGGKATCAAATGAAATGCTAGCTGTATACCACCCATTCATGCTTGGCATTCATCCCTTCAACAGACCATCATTGAAYAGTGACTTACTTGCTGTATAAACAAATTGTTCACACAATCTCTACTGGCTGAAGAGGCACAAATGACGGGTATTAAAACACAAGTGGATAATATGAGTTTTCAGGGACCTCAAGATAGAGAAAAATTAAGAGATTAAGTTGACAAAACTACATTAATATTAGAAATTCTATATAAAATCATAGAGTGAAGAGATAAACCTGGAGTGGAAAAGRTTTGAAAAAAATATAAAGTATCTAACCCAGAGCATGTGGTGGTCAAGAAAAAGTTGGAAAGAATAGAAAAACTGGCAAAAGACATAAAAGGCAATCCCAAGAAAATATACCCTAACAGCATGTGAAAAGGCTTGGTTTCATTACTAATCATTTCAAAAGCAAATCCCATCAACACCCACCCAATTGGCAAGAATCTTAAAAAGTCCGACAATAACAAGCATTGAGCATATGGAGCAACAGGAACTCCTCTGTTGGTGGGAGTGTGATTTCTGTGAGCACTCTGGGAAAACACTTGGGCATTATTTTACAAAGCTGACACACCCTGTGAGCTGGCAATTCCACTCTCAGGACTATGCCTTGAAGAAGTTCCTGAACACCTGCACTAGGACATTTGTGAGTGTGCATAGTTCTGTTGATTATAATAGCCCCCAATGGGGCACAACTGGTGGTTCTCAGTATGAGGGTAGATAAATAAATAAAGCTGCACAGTGGTGAAAAACCAACAAAAAGATGGRATCCGCTCATGTAAAGTTAAGTGAATTCTTGCTTAAGGATCCCTATATAGATGGTAAGTCTAGAAAGGAAACCAAGAAGCTAGGCATAGTGCTACACACCTAGAGTCTCAGTTACTAAGACGGCTAAGGAGGATTGCAAGTTCAGTGCCAACCTGGGCAACTTTTAGGCCCTGTCAAAAACACTGGAGACCTTAGGTTCAGTGCCCATTGCTGTGCAAAAATAAAAAACACAAGGGAATGCTTATTGCAAAAGTTAGTAGTAGGTCCATAGTGTAGGTCAGTGGTGGAGCACCTGCTGAGCATGGGCAAGATTCTGGGTTCCATCCCTAGCACCAGRGGAAAAAAGTCAATACAAAGAAAAAAATCTGTGGTGGAGGGTGTGATAGTGGAAGGGCTTGGCAGTGGGAGTGGCATTTCCATTTTTTTGAMCTTTGGGGTGGTAATGTAGACATTAGCTACTTATTAAATTGGTCAGAGGGCAGGGTGTAGCTCAGTGATAGTGTTTGCATAGCATGTGTGGRACCTGGGCTTGATCCCAGTATTAAAAAAAARWKKTTTTTTTTTTTTAATTTATCTGAACACGTCTGTTCTTCGATGCCCTTAATGTGGATCATTCTGAAATGCTACATTTCAGAATAATAGAAAGAAACACAAAACTAAAGACCAGAGGATGGAACAATGATCTGGTAAGCTGGGCACTATGGTCTATGGTCTGTAAGGACAAGGGTCCAGTTGAGGCTGTATCTGGGTAGGATAAGTGGCCCACTGTGATAGAGATATCAGATGGCCAATCCAGTTGGCTACAGTCAGCCACCATACAGGCAGAAGCATCACTGAATGCTTAGAAAGCACATCCTCAAGGCACAGAGTAAAGTGCAGCAGGCCAGGCCAGAGAGGTGGCAAAAGCACACATGATGAGTTGTGTGTGCGCGCGTGCGCGTGCACTGGGGATTAAACCCAGGGGYACTTCACAACTGAGCCACATCCCCAGCCCATTTTTTTTAATATTTATTTTTTGTAGTTGGATACATATCTTTTTTAAAAAAATATTTATTTTTTTAGACACAATRTCTTTTATTCTATTTATTTTTATGTGGTRTTAAGGATCRAACCCAGAACCTCACATGTGCTGGGCRAGTGCTCTACCACTGAGCCACAACCCCAGCCCTCCCAGCCTATTTTTATATTTTATTTAGAGASACAGTAGTTTATGTTTTCACTAARTTGCTGAAGCAGGCTTTGAATTCCYGACCCTTCAGCCTCAGCTTCCCAAGAAGCTGGGATTACAGGCATGTGCCACCACACCTGTCCAAGATGACATTGTTWTGCAATATTTTTAAAATTCAGATGAAGGCCAAAATCCACAAAAAACAAAATATCAAAGAGAGGATCCAACCCTGTATACAAATTTGCTTCTGCCACTTCTCCCTGGTCCTTTCTAGATGGGGGCAGAAGGGATAGCAGCTTCTCCCTCATGTCTGTTCCAGCTTCAGGAAGTTGTGACTAGGTGGGTCTCAGCCTTCTACAGGGACCAGGTCTCTTCCTCCTGCCCCAGGACCTACCAGAGCCCCTTACCCACTCCAGGTCTGGGTCCCCAGCTCAGAGCCCTTTATGTGCTTGGGACAGTGGGGCACAATGGAGGGAGGGAGGGGTATATCCAGGCCTGTTTCCCTGGCACCCTTCACCTACCTGGCTCCTCCCCAGCTGGTGGCTGGCATCAAGTACTACCTGACAGTGGAGATGGAGAGCACAGCGTGCCGGAAGACCAGGGTCTCTGGAGACCATGTGGACCTCACCACCTGCCCCCTGGCCACAGGGGTGCAGCAGGAGGTAACAGCACTGCCCCAAGCCYGCAYCCTGCACAGAACCTGAGGCCCTGGGCTTGTCCCACCTGAGCTGGTCTGGCTGGCTGGGCAGAGACCTAGCTGAACYTGCCCTGTTTTTGGGTGACTCAGCTTCAGGCCAGTATGAGGTGCAAGAGGAGAGGCTGAAGCTTTCCTGGGTGTGGGGGATTTGCTGGAAAGACCTGGGATCTAGTCCCATCATCAGACTGTGTGTCGCTGGGGCCAGTGATTGCCCCTCTGTGGCCCCAGAGTGACAAGGCAGGCAGAGAGCTGGCTCCTGGGAGGAGGCTGACCCCTGGGCTGGGCTCACCCCTCCCTGTGCCTTGGCTCTCAACAGAAACTGCGCTGTGACTTTTGAGATCCTCGAAGTCCCTTGGAAGAACTCAGCTTCTCAAACAAGACTGTGTGTAGCTGTAGTAGGTTGGCAGGTAGGAGTGG